CTTTTTACCTCCTTTTCTTACCTCCTACTAGCACTATATTATATATATAATAATATATATATATATATGGTTAGTCTAGATTACACACTACTACGGTAGATTTTAGAAAAGTCTACTCCCAAACTTTGGACAGTAAGTTGCCCTTAAAATAATTACAATTACATGAATGTATTTTTCATTATCACATTAACAAAGGGCATAAGATGTAATTTAAAATAAAAGACCTCCTCCCGTGGAGCTCGAGAATCTCTCCCTCTCTCTCTCTTCATGATGAAGCCACTCAAACACTCTCTCTCTCTACCCTTGTGAAGCCTCCAAAACTCTCCCTCTATGTCTCTCCTTCCCCACTGTGAAGCCCACAAATCTCTCTTACTCAATGTCTCTCTCTCTAAACTCCCAAAATCTCTATCTTCCACTTTCACGCCCCAGCACAAAGCTGCAACAAGTAAAACACTTTGCTTTGCTTTCCGAATTCAAGATAAAAAAAACATAGAAAGAGAGCTCCATTAAACATTTGGATGCCTTTCTAATTCTATTCCCCCTTCTAGGAAAGAAACAAAAATAAGAGAGATAGAAAGAACCAGGACTTCACTAGAAAGAGAGAGAGAAATAGGAAGAAGCTTGCCTAAAAGGATGGCATGGCCGATTTCTCTCACATTTATCTGTGGGTTTCAATTCTACAAAGGAAGAAACTAAAAGGAGTTGCAGGGCGATTGAATGAGCGGTTGCTGGTTCTGAGCAATGGTGCTTTGCGGCAGCCATCTCTGTCTCTCATCTCTGTCTCTCTCTCTCTATCTACCCCGTGAAGCCCCCAAATCTCTCTCTACCCCATGAAGCCCCAAAATTTCTCTCTCTCTCTCTAACCCCGTGAAGCCCCCAAATCTCTCTCTACCCCATGAAGCCCCAAAATTTCTCTCTCTCTCTCTAACCCCGTGAAGCCCCCAAAACTCTCTTTCTCTATCCCATGAATCCCCCAAATCTCTCTCTCTCTACCCTGTGAGTCAACAATTACATCTTATGCCCTTTTTTAATGTGACAGTGAAGAATACATTCATGTAATTATAATTATTTTAGGGGCAACTTACTGTCCAAAGTTTGGGAGTAAACTTTTCTAAAATCACCATTAGTATGGTGAATTCTAGGCCATAATTTCATACAACGGTTTGATAGTAATATAATGAAACAATCTTCAAAAATCATGTTAGGGCCATTTGTCCGACCCTAATTTTTAAATTTACACTCTTTTCATAATAATGAACAATCACAAAAATCAAAATTTGAAAGCACAACCTAAAAAATGTTTTTTTAGCCCAATTAAACATAGGAAAATTGTTTCATGCAAGTTAGATGGCATTTTTACAATATGTGGTCCAGAGGTATAAAGCATACATCTTTAAGATGGATGTAAATAGGTGGTCCATCTAAAAACAATTGTAACTAACAGTCAAATTGTTTTCTTAATATTATTATTATTTCTAGTTTTCAAAAAAAAATATTCATATTCATGATCTTCATGTTAAAGATTATATATTCTCTAAAAATTAGGATCAAATTATATTTAAAAAATATATTTATTGCCAAGCCCGCATTTCTACAATATGCAGGCTAGCCGCAAAGAAACCATATCCATTAATATAGGTCATCCATTTCAGTAAGATGCTCAGATCTAGACCTTAGAAGGATCCTTTTCCTTTCCAAATTTTTTAGATAACTTCATTATCATTAGATTAACAATGGTAAAAAAGAAAAAATTGCTTTTGAATTCATAAAGGCCTAGATCTTAAAATTCACCAAATGGCTAGTCTAGATTCATTGTTGGAGGGGACTCATTTTGACCATATTTAAGGTGTATATTGAATTTTATTTTTTGTGATTGATTATTGAGATACAGAGCGTATATCTGCAAAATTTGGGGTCATACAAATTCCACAAACATGGTTTTCTAGAAGTATGGTTTCACTATATTACAATAACACACTGACATACAATAACACACTGACATGAGATCATTCCCCTATATCTATATCCAAAGCAACCACCCACTACTGATAATGAATCCCATCATCTTAATGGTTCATTAAGCAACCGCATGCTATCCCACTACCATGAACGTGACCAACTGCAATCAGCTGAAGCACTTCTATAAATAGCAGCAGCTGAGCCCGAGGGACAGAAAAAGAAAAAGGAAAAGGAAAAGAAGCAAGCTTTTGACTGGTGATAGCAAGCGGAAGCTTCAAAGAAATCCTAGAGGATCACAGCCTTTTAGGGAAAGAGTCAGGCCCTCCTCATATCAAGACCCATACTCGAGTAAGGCCATACTATTCTGAGCCAATTGCCCCTCTTCTCTAAAACAGTTATCTTCTATCCCGTATTTGTATCTGACTAAACACAGGGGTTTCAACTTTTAACCTCCTTTCTTTCGAGGGTGAATGAAATAAACATACAGGTATCAGTATAACCCATATATATATACATCGGCCCTCATTACATCAAGAAGATCCATACTCAAGTAAGGCCATATTAATCTTAGCCAATCGCTCCTCTTCACTAAAACAGTTATCTTCTATCCCGTATTTGTAACCAACTAAACACAAGGGTTTTAACCTCCTCTCTTTCGAGGGTGAATGCAATAAACATACAGGTTTACAATATATATCTATATATATATATATATATATATATATATATAGTACGTATTACGAAGTAGTACGTTAGGGTTTAGGGTTTGGTTTGTTTACGTACGTACGTCGTTCGTACTACGTTACGTTACTACTTCCGT